GGCACAGCTCTCTCACGGCCGCATCTTTAAATGTATGCTAGGCACCAAGTGAATGAATTTAACGTGAAGTTAACGCTGAGTAGGTTAGGTTAGATCTCTGTTCCCTTTTTGCTGTGGCAGTAACCTCCACATTACTGGAATGTTGCTGAAAATGCCAACTGTGTTGGTGAAGATGATAAACACTTAGAATTCCTCGAGATTTACTGGCAGTGGTGAGAAGACTTCCCAGAGTTACGCTGTCAAAAAGTGCTTCTGTGCAAAGTGCAAGATGCTGATTGAAGGTGCTGCGTTGGCATCTGCTCTCACAGGGATCATCTAAAGCTGAGACTGGAGAATCCTTTGAAGAGCTGTGAGATACCAAAAGAGGAAACGGACATGCAGCTGGTGGTAAAGTGTGACCAATTCACGTGTTGGGCAAGTTGGAGAGCTGCAGCCTTGCAGGCTCATGTTTGTACAGTGCTTTAAAGTTGTAAAATGCTGTATACTTGATTGATATGGCAAGGTTTGGGCTTTGCTGACTTCTCTGCTAGACAGAGTGATGTACTATTAAAGAGAGTTGGCACTTCCTTCCTGTTGTAAACCCCCGTCTTTGTTCCCTCCGTGTCTTTAAAATTGATCTGGTTGCTTACTGGAGCTTTTGCAATCTTTCAGATACTTTTAAGAGGTGGAAGAAAGTTGCCTTTTTTAACTAGTTCTGATGTGTTGGAGAAAGTAATCTTCAAAGAGGTGTGAACTTAAGTATCAAACTTGTCTTTTTTTTTCTCCCCATTTCTGGTTGTGTACAAGCAGTGTGGATTTCTAATAATCACAGTGAGTCTGCTTCCATCTGACCCAAAGCAAGAGCTCGCTTCTTTCCTTCCTCCTCCAGCCTGCTGTCTGTGCTGCTGCTGCCTCAAGCAAGCTGTCCTCAGGCTGTTGCACTTTGACCCTATCTGTGTCATACATGGTAAGTGTCTCAGGTTGGAGTGTTGCATGGAAGGTCTTCTTTGCCTAACTGTGACTTCCTGGTGCCTTAGTGCATTGAAAACAACAACAAAAAGAAAAAAAAAATCCCTGGATTTCTTGCTGACCGCACTGTTTGTACAATACCTGGTGATTCTGACTCTCTTGTTACAAGGTGACTGAAATTTAGTGACCCTCAGGGGTTTTTTTTGTATGTCTGCGTAGTGGTATTTTTATTGTTTCTGTTATAATGTATACTAAAGGTTTGGCTTTTGTAATGAAAACTTGAGATACTTGTCAGAGACCAGAATATTGCTATTATGATATTTTTTTTTTTTTTTAGTTGAATAGGGAATCTTTGCTCACTAATCAAAGCAGCAGAACTGCTTCTTTTTTACAAGGGGATGACAGCAGGGAGCTCCTGGGTGCAGCTGAGGTGTGCGCTGGGTGAGTGTGGGATAGCAAAAAGTTAGGCACTGCCTTTTTGTTTAACATGTAGCTACACCAGTGTCTGGTGTGCAGGGAAACTAACCTTTTGTTGAGGCTAATTCTTGGCATATGAACACTTTAATTTAGGAGAGATGTAGTAAAAAAAAAAAAGCCCACCAACCCTCCTAACACACAAGCTGGAGGTGTTGGAAGGAAGACTAGACTAACACATTCTGTTCTGCAGGTGGTTCCTGCTGTTTGTGGATCACTGCTTTGTATTGTCTGAGTGTTCAGTTTGATACAGGTAGCACGGTTGGCTTCCAGCCACATCCTCCCTTCTGTCCTTGGAGGTTTTTCCAGGCCCAGCACGACCTGCTGTGCACCCACACACTGCTGTCCGTGCTGGGAGCAGAGGAATGGAGGTGCTCCAGTGGTGGGTGTTCCTCCGAGGCAGATGTTGAATGTGCTGGGTGTTGATCTCAGTGCTTTCACTCTATACAAGATAGGTATAACTTCACAGCTTTATTTTTTGCTGAGCTCTTTGTCTCTGGCCTTAATGGCACAGAAGTCTTGGATTTAATTTTTGTTTGTTAAGCTGCAGCCATCAGCTTTACTACCACTTCCTATTTCCTGGCTTGTTTACTTACCACTGGCTTCTTTTTTTTTTTTTTAAGATTTTTTTTTCAGAAAGACCTGCATGTCTCTGATAGGAAACCTAGTTTTCCTGCTTTGCTGACGTCAGCCTGGCAGCAGGGGAGTTGTGTGTGACCAGCGGGGTTCCAGCTGATCTCTATCTGTGCTGCTTTTTATCTGATTTTTCTGCTGTCTGACAAAGAGGGGGAAATCCTTCCACTTAAAGGAGAGAGGGTTGAGTTTACCTGGGAGCAGCACAGGGTATTTTTGGGAATAAGGCAGAGGATGCCCAGAAGGAGCTATTGCATCATGGCCTTGGTTCAGCACAGGCTGACCTTCATGCCATGCTGACTGCGCTTTGGGTTTCTCTTCTGCTTCCCAAAACAACTGTGCAATTACTGGAAAGGAAAATCTTCTGTATATTGAAAAGGCTGAACCTGGGCTGCAGGGAAGGAATTTTTTTTTTCTTCTTTGTAAGTGAAGCGAGGGAATGAAACGCCAGCTTCCAGATCACAAACAATGAGACTCTGTTTTTAAAGGCACAACTTCCCTCGCGGTCCCCAGGCGCGGTGAACCGAGACTCCCTGTGGGCGTGCTTTTAGAATGAGATTGCTCTGGGGAGAGTTTTAAGAAGTTTTACAGGAGGTCCTGATGCTTTCTGAGGAGCTGAGTGGCTTCTGGCCCTTGTGCTGTTCAGGTTTTAGCCATGGGAGTCCCATGGTGAGGTGGGAGGGCTGCACTGACCCTCCAGCAGGTTGGGTGCTTCAGGGCAGCAGTGCTTGCTGCCAGGGTTCTGCCCTCCCTTCCCTTTCACCAGCCAGTCCTCCACGTGGAGGCAAGAGGCAGCCCCAGCCCTCCAGGAAAGCAAAGCTGCCTTTTCATTTCCTCACACTCAAGACCAAAGCAAACTTCAAACACACCTCACTGCTACCAGCTCCATAAACACCACCTGTCCCGGTTAGCTCTTAGTGAACTGCCCTGCTGGCACTGCTGGGATGCTGCTGTTGCACACGCACAGTGCTTTGAGTTGAGATCACACAGCACTGACAGCTAAACTGGTTGGATATAGCAGATGTAGGTGAGCATGGGGAGGGCTGGGGCTGCCTGCTCACGCTCCTTGATGGTGGCTCTCAGATACAGGAGATGACTAATCCCTCACTGTAAGGAACAGCTTGAGGTCTGAATGGATGGTCAGAGCTGAGTCACTGTGCTGCAGCGGTGCCGGCTTCCAAGTGCATTCATTTCTTATTAATCAGTGCACGGTGTGCAGCTCACAGCCTCACAGGGTATTTTTAGTGAAACCAGCCGTCCTTGGCCAGTCGTGCATCGGGACAGGGTGTCTCAGCTCACTGCTTTCTACCATCCCCAACTGCTTTCTGCTCCGTGCAGCGCTGGGCTGGTTTTGGCAATGCAGCGTTCAGCTTGTGAGCCTGTGTTCCTTTCCAGCCTCAAACTTTCCTCTTTTGCAAAAATATGGTCTGGTGGGTCTGGGAGAAGGGAGGTTTTCCTGCCAGCTGCGTGTTGGCAGAAGGGCTGCCGTCGTGGAGCGACTGTAAATACGCCGTTAGTCGAATGTCACGGCTGTTGTTTGATTTTTCTTTCTTTTCTTTTTTTTTTTTTTTTGCATTTATTTTTAAACTATTCCATGTTTGATACCGTGTACAATAAATTTGCAGAATTTAGAAGACTGCCAATTTCTTCATTCTTCCTCTGCCCATTCCACTGCTGACCCTCCCCACCCTGGGCTGGCAGCACCAGGGCTTGCTCCCCAAGCTCAGATCTGGTAGGAAAGTAACTTAGCACACGCCTCAAGTTTGTTGAAATATACTTTTATTGCATTTCTGCAGGTTTTACAAAAATATGACAATAAATTAAAAAGAAATAAATAACCCCCTTCATTTCTTTCAGTTGCCAAAGAAGTAGCACACAGCAAGGGAAAAAAAAAAAAACAAAGAAACAGTTCCCTCCTTTGTACAGTAACTGCCCAGAAGTGAGATAGCAGACAGGCGGCTGCTGAAGAAGTGTTTTGTATAGAGAGAAGTTGAGAAGTGCCCTGGATGCTGGGCCCTGTCCTCTGCTGAATGGAGCAGGAATAGGTTGTGCCAGGACTGTTTACTGCCACGAGGGAAACGGGGCAAACAAAACTCAGTTTAAGAGCAGCGCGTTTTAACTGAGAGCTGAGCGAGAGCTGGCCTGGTGAGCCCAAGCTGGGAGGAAGCAGAGAAACGAAATGGTGAGTGGGGAAAGAGGGGGGTGGGGGGGAGCTCTGCACCTCCTGGCATCCAGGGCATAGCAGCAATGGGGTCACCAGTACCCCTGCTGTGTGCTCTGGGTGCTGCCCTGCCACACGCTGCTGCCCATCCTGCACCCTGTTTGCCTGTTCCCCTTCCCCTGCTCTCACCCCAGAAATCCTCTGTTGGGGCAGCAGGGAGGGGAAGGTAGGTGGTGCCTGCTTCTGTGTGGTGGTGGGGGGGCTGCTCTGCCCTCTGTGCCTCTCAGGGCTTGGCATGGGGAGCACAGCAGTGTGGCACAGCAGTGTGGCACAGCCCTGGCCATGCTGCGCAGTGAGCGGAGCGCAGAGCCTTGGTGCTGCCCCAGCCTTATTGCTGTATCGATGGCTTGATTCAGAGATGAAAGGAAGAAATACACCATGTTGGGGGCAGATGGGGGGGTGGGGAACAACCTGACATTTCTGCAGCCCAGGCCTTGGGCCAGGCACAGTGATGGGGCGGCTGCCCCAGAGCCCTCCTTTCCCCCTGCTTGCTTTGGAGATGGTGGGTGGCTCGGTGGTGGCAGTGAGCAGGGCTGGAGGCAAGGAGCTGCCCTTTCCCATGCCCTTAAGCGAAGCAGCACCCAGCAGAGCCGTGGGCAGCCCCTTCCCCTCTGGGCTGGGGGCTGCCAAAGCGCTAACACTACACCCAGCGAATCCTCCACCTTGCCAGAAGCAAAGCTGCTCCCACCCCCCCCCCCACCGTGTGCCCCCACCCTCCCACCCCATCACCCTCCCAGGCTCCAGCGTGCGTCCGTGCGCGAGTGCCTTATTGCAAAATAATTCCACGAAATAGGAAAGCAGAGAGGGCGAGGGAGCGTTGCAGGTCCAGGGTGCTCCGAGCTCTCATCTCCGCCGCCTGCAGCCATTGCATGAAAAATGGCAGAGTCGCTCGCATTGGGTTTTGTTTGGGTTTTAGTGCAAGAAATGCTCCCCGTGCCTTGGGGACGCAGCAGCCGGCGCTCGCTGCTCATCCCCTCCCTCCCGGCCGCTTTCTGGGCAGCACGCTGCCCCGTGGTGCAGCGGGACACAGCCATGGCTGTAGGCACGGGTGAATGGGGCTCCTCAGTGCCATCCATCCCTCTGGAGCGGAGCTGTGGCCCCGAGCTGCGCCCCTTGGAGCTCTGCGGGTCTGGGGATACTGAATCCTCCTTGGATGACCTCCTGGAGACGGCGGGCACGGAGCATTGCCCGTTGGTGGTGCAAGAGGGGATGCTCCATCCGAGGGCACCGCCAGACCTCCGTGGGGTTGTGATGGGGTCCCAGCAGAGGGGCTGCGATGGAGGGGCCGGGATGGGGCTGGCGTGCCCGGCTCAGAGTCTGTAGCCCCCGCTCTCCTCCTCTGCTCGTGGCTCCAGCTCCTCGCGGGCTCCATCCTCTGGAGCCCCATTGAGGTGGGACTTGCTGGGGGCCGGTCGCTCGCCCCCATCTGCAGAGGGGCCAGCACGGGGCTGGGGGGAGGCGGTGGCCCCGTTGCCGCCAGTCCCTTCGGACTTGCCGAAGTTGAAGAGCTTGCCGGGGTTGAATGGCTTGGTGGGCGACTGCACCTTTTCGGTGGCCGCGTCCCTCTTGGTTTCGGGGGATTTCAGGAACTTGAAGCTGAGAAAGCCAGGGAGTTTGTTATCGCTGCTGGTGGGGGATTGGGGGGACCTGGCGGCCGTGCTGCCCGCCCCGGTCCCCCCGGAGAGGAATTTGCCCTGCAGAGGGATGATCTGCTTCAGCTTCATGACGTTATTGGTGGCCAGCAGCGAGCTGGGCCGCTTGGGCTTGTCGGAGCCGTGCGCGGAGGAGCCCCCGGAGCCCTTCCCTTTGCTCTGGCTCTTCTCGTGGGCCGGGTCCTGCCCGGCAGCCTCAGCCTTGGCCTCGTCGCGGTTGGCCTCGCGCTCCTTGCGCGCCTGGTACTCGGCGTGCCGCTGCCGCTCCTCCTCCTCCCGCTTGCGCCGCTGCTGCTGCTGGAAGTGGTGCTGGGCCTGGCGCTCGTGCTTCTGCCGGCGGGAGCGCGTCGGGACGGGGATGCCGTGGGGACAGCCCGCGTGTCCCCATCCCCCGCGGTGACACCTACCTTGAAGGCTTCGCGGCGCTGGTACTCCAGCTTGGCCATCTCCTCGGCCACCCATGCGGGGATGTCAGGGATGGCCACTTGGATGACGTACTTCAGCAGCAGGGCGAAGTGCTGCGGGGACACGGGGTGAACGCTGAGCACCCCGCCGAGCACCCCAAATGGGAGATTGTATGTTGACACCGCCCTACCTCCAGCACCACCACCGAGATGATGGCTCCCTCGGGGCTGAGCCAAGGGAAGAGTCGCTGCAGCTGCCCGCACTGAGCGATCAGGTAGCAGTTGACCACGATGGCCAACACACCCATGGCCTCCATCACCTTCTGTAAGAGGCACAGCACCGGTGATAAGTGTGAACTCTGCGATCGTGCCGGCCCCCTGCAGCCCCCCAGCCCACCTGCCACTGCCCGATGCTCTCCACCCGCTGCCCGAAGGGTCGCTGCAGCCCCGTGCACAGTTTGAAGGCATCACTGCGAATCTCGATGATGTTGTTGACCAGCGCACACATGGCGGCCAACGGGAAGGCAGAGGAGAAGAGCACCACGTAGCCAAACTGGATGAACATCTCCTGGTAGTCCTGGAAGGTGTCCTGGCAGGAGGAGGAGGAGGTTCCAGGCAGGGCTGGATGGGAAACCTGGTCTGGTGTGGGGCACCCATCCCATGGCAGGGAGTGGAAGTGGATAATCTTTAAGGACCCTTCCAGCCTACTTTCCTATAGTTCTATGATCTTAATGATCTCTTCCAACCCAACCATTCCATGGTTCTGTGGTCCTTAAAGACCCTTCTAGGCAACAATTCCATTGTTCTATGATCTTTAAGGACCCTTCCAACCCAACCCTTCTGTGGTTCTATGAGGGGCAGCACGTGGTGCTGGGACCAGGAGGACGCTCCGTGCTGCACCACACCGTGCTGACCACTCACCTCATACTTCTTCATGCAGCTCTCCACCTCTGCCTGCGTCAGCTGTGTTGAGTAGTCCTCCTCAGGCGGATCGATCCATGACGCCCGGTTCTGCCTGCGCCCTTCCTCCTCACCCTCGTCTTCCTCCCTCCTCCTCCTTGTGACCCGTGGGCCCGTGGCCGGCACCGCTGCTTTGGCCGGGCTGCCCGAGGGGCCTTCAGCATCCTCCTCATCATCACCCAGCTCGAAGACGGAGGCGGGATCCATGCCCTTCTCCACCATGGTGGGGCTGCCCTCCTCTAGGAAGCTCTCCTCCTCGGTGCCGCAGGGCTCGGTGCCACGCCGCTCCGCCTTCTCGATGAAGCTCACCTTCTTCAGCTTCAGCCCACAGTCCAGCGCGCTCTCATCCTCCGAATCTGACTCCCGACGCTCTTCCTCCTCCTCCTCCTCCTCGGGCACCCCACAACCCCCATTCAGACACTTCTTCTCCCCCCGCGACCCCTCGTGGGCTGCTCCGGCAGCCGGAGGTGCGCGGGGGTGGGCGAGCAGGCGAAGGATGGTGTGGGACAGCTCACGGAGGTTGCGCAGGCTGAGCTCCCCCCGGCGCAGGCGGCGGTACAGGTGGGGCTGTGACACCTCCTTGACGTTCTGCAGGAACTGCCGCGTGATGAGCAGCGTGGCCAGCATCTGCGGGGACACCGCTGTCACCGGGGGGGGTGCCACCACCCCCACATCCCCCTCCCGACCCCATCCCCACGGCATCCCCGCAGGGCAGGGCACCCATCCCTGGTGTCCCCTCGGTGTCACCCCAACATTACCGATGTCACCGAGGTGGGGATGGGAGCCCCAGGGCTGGGGTCGAGGGGGGGTTCATGGCAGCATGCACGACCCCCACCCTCCCCGCTCCTACTTTGGATACTCCCAGTCTCCAGCAAAAGCCCAGGAGGCCCTTAAGGAAGATGAGGGAGAGGTGGAGGTGGAGGAGGATGAAGGGGAGGAGCGCCTCTTTGAGCTGGCGCACGAGGCTTTGGGACAGAGAGAAGATGAGCAGGAGCTGCGGAAGGGACAGACGGACGGACGGACGGACAGACACAGACAGAGAGACGCCGTCAGCGGCCGCTCGGCCCCACTGTGGCATGCGGGGACCCGGGGTGGGGAGTGGGGGGTGGGGGGGCGCGGGCGCTGCTGGCTGAGGGACGTCCGTCTGTGTGCACCCAGGGTGGGATGGGGGGGTCCTCGCTGCCCCCACGCGGCCCCTCACCTCCTTCAGCCGTTCCATGTCTTTGAGGTAGAAACCAATGTAGAAAAGACTTAGGTATGAATTTACAAACTGAAACTGTGGGATACAAGGGGGGAGGGGGTTAATGTGGGGATGGGGGGACGCCAAGACCCCTCCCCACCCCCTGTCCCCTCTCCCCCCTTACCAGGACGATTTTGATGATGAGGTGTTTCTCGTAGGCACTCTGCAGGCGGTAGTTTTCTGCAAAGTCAAAGGGTTTGCGGTCAGGGGGGGTCCCCCACTGCTGCCACCCCCCCTGAGCCACCCCCCCCCCAGCCCCACGCACCCATATCATTCAGCCAGTAGGCGATCTTCTTGTAAACCTCGTCGCAGGTCGTGACAATGACGGCCAGCACGATTTTGGGCAGGAAGCGGAGGATGCGGGGCAGCTCCTTGACGCTCAGCACGAGCTCCTGTGGGAATAAGGTCACCGGGGGGGGGGGGGGGGGGGGGGGAGTAGCTGTGGGGTGGTGACCCCCCCCAAGTGTGACAACACGGCCCCACCTGAAGCTGGAAGCAACCCAGCATGATGAGGAAGACGAAGGAGAGGCAGGCGAGGCAGACGGGCAGGCTGACCAGGCACTGGAACAGCAGCCGTTTCCAAGGTGGGTAGTAGAACTCCTCGGCGCTGGTCACAGGACTGATCCTCTTCACCCCCTAACAGAAGACACCGGGCTTCATCATGGGGACTGCCCACCCCAGGACCAAGGAATCCCACCCCACTCACCCTGAATTGGGGCCTGGGCTCCTCGATGGACTCTGCGGGGGTGTCCAGCGTCCCCCACTTGTAGGCAAACTCTGCCCCGCGGCGCTTCCACTCCTCCAGGAAGAGCGTGGCCCAGACAACGTTGAAGATGGCAAACACCACGCAGCAGATGTCCTGGCTGGTCTAAGGGGGGACAGCACCAGGGTCACTCCCCTCCCACCACCCCACAGCCACAGTCCTTGGGGGGGCCAAGCGGCTCCGACCCCAGCGCTGAGGGTTGGGATGCTGTGCAGCAGCTGGGAGCAGCTCTGCTGATGGGTTCCTCCAGCCCCCAAAATGTTGGGGTTGGCCCCATCTCCTGCCCCTCCACACCTGGTCGCTCTCGGTGAACGTGTAGAGGATGGAGCCGAACACAGCAGGGTACACCATGGCCGAGGTGTAGAAACCGAGCCAGGCAAAGTACATGGCGATCTTCACCCCGAAGTAGTCACAGATCTCATCTGTATGGCCCGAGGGGATGTGAGTGGGGCCGGGACCCCCAGAGCCCCCATTTCCCCTCCTCCCAGGGCCTCACCGAGTGGCTGCGCCTCGCAGATCGCCTGCACCCACGACTTCATCAGCCGCTTGAGGATCCTCTGCTCGTGCAGTGGGAAGACCTGCTGGATGACGCCGCGGGCCGCCAGCTCTGGGACTGCACCGCGGGTGGGGGGTGAGGCTGGGATGCTGCTGTCCCCCCCAGCGTGGAGCAGGTTGGGACAAAGGGACAGCAGGGAGGGGGGGGGGCTTGGTGCCACGTGCGGACCCCGTGTCTAACCCTGGTGACAGCACTGTGTGCCTGCTGTGCTCGAGTTCATCCCCGTGTGCTGCAAGAATGGGGACACCAGCAGGAAGAGGGACCCTCTGGGGACAGCAGGATGTGCTGCCATGGCACAGCGGGGATGCAGGGAGGTGGGTGGGCAGGGGGAGCTGTGCCATATTGTGCCGTGCTGTGCCATACTGTGCCGTGCTGTGCCATACTCACTGATGGGCTGTCCCTCCAGGAAGTGGATGTTGTGCAGTGCCTCGCCCTGCTTGGCCCGCAGGTTCTCCAGCCAATACCTGATGATGTTTTGCCGTTCCTGCGGCACCGCAGAGGGGTGAGCTTTGGGGACACAACCCCTCTGCCTGAACCCCGACACCCCAAATGTGACACCCATGTCCCCCCTGCCCTGGCCTCTCCACCCCCAGACATGTTTTGTCCCCAGCATGGGGAGATCTCAGTCCCCTTCTCCATCTGGAGGTGGGGAGATGACCCATCTCCTTCCCCTGTGTCCCCACATCCCTGCCCAGGACCCCCATCCCCCCCCATCCCACCTGAGAGGTGAAGAAGTAAAGCTCATTCTCAATGTTCTCATAGATGTAGTCCTCCTCGCAGGAGAAGCTCCGCATGCCGCCCCCAAACTCAGCCTTCACCGGTTTCCGCAGCCCGATCTCATCGGCCCCACGCAGCAAACTGCAGAGAGGGGCTGGGGCTGGGAATGGGGCCGAGCTGGGGGCGCGGGGAGGGGGAGGTGGAGGAGGGGGGGGGGCCGTGGAAGGGGTGGGGATGGGAGCACACGCACCTCTCGTAGGTGGCTGTGACGAAGAAGGCGTAGGCGCGGGTGTGCTTGTGGTGCCGCACCTGCACGATGAGCTCGGGGATGCCGAGGCGGATGTGGTTCAGCAGCCAGAGCAGCGTGTGGTCGTCCGTGGTGTCTGCAGGGGGGTGGGCATCGATATGTCCCCACGTCCACAGCCCCGTGCCCGCATCCCCCCACCTCTGGTACACGGCTCCGAGGAGCTCTGCGTCCCTGGTCCCCTGCCCTCCCCGGCACCCTGCGCACCTGGGAAGGTCATGAGCACATCGCAGTTCTCGGTGGGCACCGTCTTCATCCAGGCTTTGTGGGACATGATGTAGCGCCCAGCTTGGAGCAGCCGCTTCCCAAAAAGCTTGTCTGCAGAGAATGGCTCCGTCACCTCCATCACCCACCCCACAACCCCACAACCCCACAGTGGTGAGTTGGCCACCAGCACAGCCGCAAAGGGAATGGAGACGGCGGCTCGGGTTTCTCCTCCGGGTGCCTGAAAAAGCCCTGACAGCTGCAGGAGGCGACGCACAGCCTGGCATGGCGTGGCACGGCCCCCCCACACCCCCTATTGCCCCCCCCGCTCACCTCTGCCCGCAGCCCCACAGCGGTGCTGGGATCCAATGCGACCGCAGAGCCGGGAGATGGGAAACGGCAGCAAAAATGGGGGGAGCGAAAAAGCAGCCGGTCTCCATGGAAACGTGGGGAGGCCCCGTGCGGCGGCGATGCGTAGGGATGGGGACGGTCCCCAGGGTCCCTTTGTCCCCCTCCAGCCAGGACACACAGCCTGTCCTGCTCTGGGATGGCCGTGACAGGGGGGATTGCTGTCCCCCTGCTCGGTGTCCCATTGGGGTGCGCAGGGACCCCACACGTCCCAGCCTGGCTGTGGGGCAGGACGATGCCCCATGGAGCCAGCGGGTGCCACTGCCTGCTGTCAGCTCCCAGCCACCTCTGTGCTTCAGTTTCCCCTCCTGCAACTGAGCAGGGATGTCACTGCTGCCAGCTTGCCCCAGGGCAGGGAAGGTCTCGGGGCACAGGAAATCCTGCGCACACCGGGCGGTGCTGGGCCCCAAAAAACAGGAAATGCCGGACATGCACCCAGACATGCACCAGGACATGCACCAAGACCTGCACCAGGATGTTCACCGGGACAAACATTGGGATGTACACCAAGACCTGCTCAGGACCCGCACCAGCTAGTGCACTGTGACCTGCACTGCCACCTGCACCAGGACAGGCACTGGGACACACACCAAAGCCCTGTCCCAGTCCAATGGATGCACCCAGTTCCGTGATCTCCACCCCACAGCCCAGCAGGGCCCCCGGCTGAGACCCAACAAACTCATCTCCCATGCTGCCAACGTGCTGAAAGGCCGCGCTGTGCAGCACTGTGGGTGCAGGACCAGGACGGCGCCAGGCTGACAGCCAGAAGGGGTGGAGGGGCAGATCCTGTATGGGGTCACTGCTCGCCCACCCCACACACAGGGACTGCCCTGGAGGCGGTGCAGGGCCGTGCACAAGTGTGGCATTGTCAGTGCCACCACAGCTGCAGAGCCAGGATGGCATCAGGGAAGCAGCTTCAGCTGGGGATGGGATGATTCTCTGGGACCCCCCAGCTCTGCTTTATCCACCCTGCCATGCTCTGGGACCCCCGGGCTCAGTGGGACCCCCGCTGTGCTTGGGCACGGATGGGGATGAGCGCTGGGCAGAGCGAGCAATGCTGCTGAATTATTGATGCCCACAAAGGGAGGTGTAACCTTACCTGGGGCAGTGGGTGGTGGAGAGGGGGCACCGGGGGGGCACAGAGCTGGCATTGCGTGCACGCATGTCCCAAACACACACATGTGCCATGCTGTGTGTGTGATCCTGCAGTGCCACGCTTGTGACTCCATGGCACAGCCTCAGTGGCACCACGCTGCCCCACAGAGCCATGGTTTGGGGGCATGGGGTGGGCACCTGCCCGAGGTCACCGGGACAGACATGGGGGGGCTGCAGAGGGGTCCCAGCATGGGGTTTTGTCCCCTTGATGGTGACTGTGCAAGGGGGGGGGAGGGAGGGGGGCTCTGCTGCCCCCTCTTCTGGCCGTGGGGCCATTCCTGCTCCATGTCCCCACGATTTCCCCCAGGTTCTCCCGGTGCCACTCCACAATAAGGGGACAGCGCTGCCGCCCCCCCCCCTCCATCCCCCATCCCCGCAGCCACCGCTCACCTTGGGGTAAGGTCACCGCAGCCGCAGGGCTCCGGGCACCCAACCACTGCCACCCGCCGCCCCGCGGAGCGCATCGGGAGCACCGGGCGGTACCGCGGGGGGAGGCGGGGGGGCACAAAGTGGGTCACGCCGCTGCCACGAAACCCCGGTCCCAACACGGCCACATCCCCGGCGGTGTCACCGGCTCGGTGTCTCCCACCGCGAGGACCCGGTGACAAAGCCCTCATCCCGCAGCCCCCACCCCCACCCGGCCCTGGGGAGGTCGGAGGAGGGAGCAGGGACCTGATTGGAGATGGGGGGGCAAATGGCCCTTCCCTGGGGTGGGGGGGTGGGGGGGCACATGGTAAGGAGGGGGCACAGCTGCCCGAGGGCCGGGGGGGTCGCTGCTGTCTTCCCGCACACACAGCGCTTTGCACGCAGCCTGTCCGGGGCGGGGGGGGGGGGGGGGGGAGAAGCACGGGGGGGTCACAAAGAGTCTGGCGGACCCCCGAGCGTGTAGTTGTAGGGAGCGGGGGGCACAGCGCTGTGCCGGGCCCAGCACGGACCCCCCCCGGCCATGAAGGGATGGGGGATCACGACCCCCCCGGACCGCAGCGCTGCCCTGAGCCTCCGCGCCGCATTGAGCCGCAAGGAGCGGCCCCGCGCCCCCCCCCCCTCCCCAAACCCACATCCCGGTTCCGTACGTTCCCCCACCCCATCATCCCCATCCCCGCTGCCACCTACCCAGGACCCCCCCCGGGGCCGCCGGCTCCGTCCGTTCGTCCCCAGGCGGGGCCCTCCGGGGCCGCTCTCCGTCGTGCGGTGCCGCGGGCGGTTCGGGCATGGTGCGGGGCTCCGGGCGCGGCGGGGGCTCGGCGGGGGCCGCCGCATGGGGACCGCTGCGGGGTCGGAGCCGCCCGAACCGCCCGAGCCGCCGCCGCGCCCGGACGGGAGGAGGAGGAGGAGGGACAAAGGCGGCGGAGCGCCGCGCTCCGGCCCCGCAGCGTTGGTTGGATGTCAGCGCCAGAATGGG